TTTAATTATTTTTAATTTTTAATAAAAATATAATCTTAACTTAATATTAATTATTAATTATAAAAGTTAAGTATATTAATTATAATTCTTTATAGCTTTACTTTATTTAAAGTAATAGCTTATTATTAATATTAAGGTCTTATTAAGCTACTTAAATTATATAGTTAATTTAATTAAACTAATTAAGGAAACCTATACTATTTACAGCAGAACGCAGTCTTAATCACTTTTAGCATTTCTGTCTAAACTCTTAACTACAATTCAACTAACCAATCAACCTCCACCCATCTCACGGTAGTAGTAGTTCTTATGGTTATTGTGTTTCTTTCCGTAGGCCAAGTCCCTTTGCTTCGTGTGAACTTGTTCCAAGGTTCTTCCTCTTTCTTCTGCCCGACGAGCTCGCCTCTTTTGTTGTTCGGGCGCGCCAACCATGCCCGCCATTCCGCGCGGTACCATTTCACGGGATCTAGACCCAGTCTCCCTCTCAACGAGCTGGCCATCAGATGCCGAACCCTGTTGCTCGGTCTCAGCGTTTTCGATTGCTAATCTCTCTGCTCGCTCCTCGGCGGAGGGGTGGTTGTGCAAATTCTGTCGGAAGTACTTGTTCAATGAACGATGACCAACTGACTTGCCGGTAGGGAGGTGGAGTTCGTAATCGTCATAAAAGACGGCACGGGTAGGTTTGTGGGCGTGAGAATGCCATCCATCGGCTTGGTGTCTTTGTCTCGGATCTTGTCGTGAGTGATGTGGGTGCTTGTCCAGTCGTTCGAACTGGTGGATATGGCCTTCAGCCGGCACGGCAGTAAGATCAGCTGAATCCAAAGACGATTCTGAACTATCCGTCTCCCAACCGTCTGCCCCTTCCTCCTCAACCTCAGCTCCATCCTCTCCTGTGAGCTTAGAAGGACGGCGTGCCCCGAGCTTCGCTCCTCCACTTGTCTCGTTCACAACCGAGCCATCGTCACTCAACTCCCCATTGTCAGAGTAGGTGCTCCTGAAATCATAGAAATCACCAATCTCAAGCTGGTCACGCTCAGTTTCGTAGGGAATCTTGCAGTGGCCTGTATCGCGCATGTGTGTCTGGATTCCAAACATGGACGATTTAACCTTATCACAATACAGGCACTGATGGTGTTCTCGGATTTTATCTTGGAGTTGCTTGAGCAAGCCGTCGATATCAACAAGATATTTCTTCTCGGGGATGAACATGCCATGAAAGCGTTCCATATGATGTGTGTTGAGAGGAATGGTTGGAGAGGTATAGTTGCAGAACAAGCATGACTCCAGTGTCAAGTTGGGATCCTGAGTGCCAGGAACGGGCGTGGCTGAGTCGGAGGCCCTGTTGTCATCGTTATCGCCTTGTGCAGCGTCTGAGACGGAAGGCTGGGGGTGTGAGGGACGCTTGACAGGAGATGGCCTTTGCTCAGTGATGCTCGCCTTCTGGAAGCCTTCAACCACATGGCTGAATTCTTCCTCGGCGTCAGAATCAACCTCTTCTTGGCTGGGTGCAATAGGTTCGCCGAGAGAGAACGTAGAGCTGACGATCGAGGTTGTTTCGTCGTCAGCTCGACCAGAAACAGTTTGTCCACTACTGGCTTCCTTTGCCTTGTGCTTCTGACTCGACAGGTGGTTCTGGTATGCATTCTCGCTGTAGTATGTCTTCTCGCAGATGCCACATACACGTTCGAAATAGGCTTTGTCTGCTTCAGCGCTTGACACCGCTCTTGCCTGCAGAACCTTTTCAGTGAAGACGTCAGAAGAAATGGGAGGCAGCGAGGCAACTCGACGTTTAAGGTTGTATCGACTTTCAGTAATTAGCCTCAGCTTCAAGCTAAAGATCCAACGAATGTACTTACTGCCAATCACTTTTCATATGCCCCTTCTGCAGGTCGATGTTGCGATACGCAACTTGGCAGGTGTTGCAGGTGTATGGGTGCGAGGCTGCACCGGACGCCTGGACACTCGCCATGATAGGAAGTGAAAAGTATACGGTTGATGAGCCCAGACCCGACTTATGAGACTTATTTTCTTGTCGTTTGTTGTGTCCTGGTCTTCGAAAGGCGGTTGTGTTTGGGAAGGAAATTTGGAGTTGAATTGGTGGGATATGGCGGGGCACTGTAGATAACGTCACACAGAAAAGGTTATCAGTGAGATGGATGACTGACTTTTTTTTTGCCCCAAACCCCGCCACGCAAGGGTACTGGGCCACTTCAACGCCGACTGGCTTTGAGGCGAGATGTAGAAAATGACCAGTCGAAGGATTGCTAAATACCCACTCAGTTTCACGAGTTATTTTTGTCACTCCAAGCAGACGTCCCCATTTCTCTTGCCCGCCTTAGTCCGCGTATTGCGGCTGGGCCATTGGCCATCAAGAGGTGGAACGGGTCCACTCTCTAGTCCCAGACTGGCAAGCAGCGTGGTGTGAAAGGGGACTTAGCAGTACGAACCACATGTGGCTTCTGTTAGGGACAGTTAGCTAGGGGCGCATCATCGCCTCTTTCGTGAGGCTGACCAAACAGCTCCTGAGGGCGCAGACTCCCCTCAGATTACACGGCATCTTCCACAACCGGCATACCCTAGCTTCATAGAACTAATTTGTATCATCAACTTTGTGTAAAATATCCGCGCACACTCTCCTCATGCGATACTTCTCTAAATTTTGATATTTCTCTATCAAATCCCCCATCTCTTACGTCCCCTCCAGGTGTCCACCGAGGCGCGATCCCATCCTCCCATGTCATGACGCCCGATGCCGTTCGTCCCCGGGACAATTCCATCGAACTCACGGCAGACTTAGATCTTCTCGCCGGGCTATGGCAAGAAGCGCCATTTGCACGTCTGCCTTCCGACGCGCCCCCTGACCTCAAGGCCTATGTTCAGAACGTTGAGAATCCAGCGCGAGTCTATGCGATCCACCAAGCGAGTCGCCGCCATGGTTTCCAGCTTCTCGTGGAGAGGTTCGTCTGACAACCATATCCATTCTCTTAACATCCTCCGTGTGCTGATTATCCAAGCAGATACATCTTGCAACTTCGATCAGGTTGTGAAAATGTCAATTGCGCAACTCCCACTTGCTTCACATGCAGGCGCCGCTTGGCAGGCCGGGCGCCCATCCGAAGATATAACACGACAAGTGCCAGGACATTGGCCATATATTTAGCAAGTCAGGACGATCCGGAGAAAGGATTATGTCCGTTCCTCCGTAAATCTCGCGAACCGCCGGCGGCTTTTGGCAACCTAATATTCTCCACGCGTTCATCCTCGTCTTCGCATCCGGACCATAACAGAGCCAGCGTTGCCACCTCGCCAAGTGCACGCAAGGAACGGATCTCTAGACCACGAGCACTCTTGTCATCATCCCAAGATGCCCTTGCTTCCCCAACGGACGACTCAAGCGACCCGATCTCTCCGATCCAAAACGCAGGTAGGCCAGCCGCAGCATGCACACCAAATTCGAAAGATCACGACTTGGTCCCTCAGATCCGTGTAATCGAGGCGCCCATGAGTAAAGATCACCGCTCATTCGCCGCGAATCTCTTTGGGACTGTCACTTTTAAGATGCTCGAATGGTTGACACCGCGAAGTGTCGCTGCAATGGTAACAAAAATCAATAATCTCGATTCAGCGGTGGATTTGGACCATACCGAAGATCCAGCGAGCTCAGCCAGAACTACTGCAGGCTCGGATATTCAGAGTACTGCCCCTGACGAGTCAGATACAACAGCTTCGACGACCGTAGCTGTACAACCACATGCAACTGATAAGAATGAGGCTTCATTCATGCCAAAACCGCCAAAACCCAGCAATGGGTCACTATCAAAGCCACGAAAGAATTCTGCGCCAAAGCACAGGCGACGGTCTACTGACTCGAACAATGCCGCCAAGCCCGGGGACAAAGTAAAATCAACTCAACCATCTCAGGTAAACGGCATCTTGCACGAAAAATCTGTACGACCTAGACACAATAAGAGTTTGTCCGGACGGGGCATCCCAGAAATGCCTTTGAAACCAGGCTTTTTCGAAAATATTACAAAACCTTCGGCGCAGCCCCTTTCGCCCACAAGTCCACCAACTTTGGCACATGTCGAGCCTTTTGGTGAAATCAGGTCCAAAGACGATGCAAATTGTGGCCATCCCAGAATTAATCATTCTCAACAGACGAGAAACCTTGACACGGCACTACCGGGCATCTCATCCCACAGTCTGGAAAACATCCTGCCTCAAGCTCTGTCACAGCTCGATGTCAATCTCGTTGACTTCATTTGTGATATTTACGAAGAAGATGGAACAGCACAGTCTGTTATAGTCTCTGCCTCCGACGCAACTCATCCATACCCACGACCCGTGAACCAGCGGAAGCCTCTACGACGCCGATCTATGTCGCGCACGACTAGGTCTAGAAAACAGTGGCAGCGGTTTAATGATCAGACGCTTTTCAACGTTCTCATGGATCCGCAAGTCATTGTTCAATCATTCACTCACGATAGAAAACTCTACGATTCTCAGACACTCTGGTACTGTTTCCATCGATTAAGCCGCGTCGCATGTAATCTTGTATTTCACAGTCTCTGGCTGGCTGCCGGGCGTTTGTTTGTTCCTCCTCAAGATTCGAGGTCACATAATTCCATCAAGGACAGTGACTCAAGATCACAGAAGCACAAGGGGTCTTTATCCAATGTTGACGCCGGTTATCTGATGTCGATCTGCATGCATGCATTGGTAGCGGCAGCTCCAGCTGTTCAAGATTCGAGAACACTATATGAGATGTCACGCGTCCGCTCCAATGGGTTGACCCTTGCCGGCCGGAGCGCCATGGCTCGGCAATCTTCGTCTCGATGTCTAGATTATGATGATGCATTCTCAAACGACTTGGCTATCAGACTTGCGCGTAGGCTATTTTGCGCCATCACAGCCAGACGGCACTTTTCTAACGAGATGGACAACGCTGGCCCCTTAAATGAGACCGAAAACAACAATGTTGATATTTTGCAACCTTTAGTTGACCAGCTCGATTTTCTCAGTACAGGCTCAGCGACGATTCTGGAATTCCCACAATCAGAGCGTCTTTTGCATGAGACTCGTGTGCCTACTGTTCTTCTAGATTGGGCACGCACCATATTACTCAACGAATGGGACGGTCGAGCCGATTTTACCATGGACGGGCCATTTGGGGGAGCTTTATCGTTCATCCAGACCCTACGTATGTGCATGCCCCGATTAGCCAATCAATACTATTTTGACCTTACTAACTTCTCCAAGATGCTAACCGAAATCTTCTCCTTCTTGGGGATATCCAATTTCGGGTCGATTATCTTTCAGAGCGCTTAGATTCGATCGAGATGCCTGTGGACTGGTTAACGTTCAAGTCGACACGCTGGCGACGACATATTCTAGATTACCCTTACATCTTCAGCCCCGACACGCTTGTTTCTTTCTTTCGCTCCATCAATTTTGCCCGAATGAGTCGTATGTTCGAAGAGTCGAGTTCATTAAAAACTCGCATGAGTGCTATTGTCGATCCCGGTAGTCTCATTACTAATCCCCACCACAAGATGGTTTTACAAGATCTCTTGAGAACAGCTTCATCGAAATACCTAGTTCTCGAAATCGGCAGGAGTAATGTCGCCCGAGATGCCTTCGACCAGCTTTGGAGACGAGAGAAACGGGAGCTTCTTCGCCCGCTAAAGGTGCACTTGGGTGAGAATAGTGGCGAGGAGGGCTTTGATTCTGGAGGTGTCCAACAAGAGTTTTTCCGATTGGCAATTGCGGAGTGCCTCGATCCCCAATATGGTGCTTTCACTGTTGACGAACGGACACGCATGGCCTGGTTCACCCCTGGGTCATTGACTGAAGATTGGAAGTACGAACTAGTGGGGCTTTTGATGTCACTCGCCTTGTACAATGGCCTGACGCTGCCCATCACTTTTCCAAAGGCCCTTTACCGGAAACTGCTGGGCAAACCGGTTGAAGAGCTTCACCACATTGCCGATGGTTGGCCAGATTTGGCAAACGGGCTGACAACATTACTGGAGTGGGACGAAAAGGATGGGCTCGTTGAGGACATTTTTGCCCGCACGTACGAATTTTCAGTTGAATCGCTCGGTACCGTTGTGACACGAGATATGAGGATGGGCGAACAAATGGGCTGGCCCAAGGCAGCGTCAAGCTTGTGTGATATTGCACCGCCACATATGGGTAACCCAGATGACGCTCCCCTTGTTACCAACGAAAATCGGGACGACTATATCATCGATTACATCCGTCACCTCACAGATATTTCCATTCGACGGCAGTATCTTGCTTTCGAGCAAGGGTTCAACTCTTGCCTCGATAGAAAGTCACTCTCGCTCCTCAGTCCATCCACCTTGCAGTCACTCGTTGAGGGTGTTCAAGAAATTGACATCATCGAATTGAAGCGGTACGCGCGCTACGTGGGCTGGGATGCTTCGCATCGTACCATTAAAGACTTCTGGTCCATCGTGAAGAGGTACGACGAGAGAATGAAACAACGCCTTCTGGAATTTGTGACATCGTCCGACCGTGTTCCTGTCGGCGGCATGAAGAATCTACAATTTGTAATACAAAAGAATGGTGAAGAAGATGGCGCGAGTGGACATTTACCAACAGCATATACCTGTTATGGCACACTCCTTCTGCCAGAGTATAGAGATAAAGAGGTGTTAAGAGAGCGGCTTGGGATGGCACTTGAGAATGCTCAAGGATTTGGCTTTGCTTGATGAGGCGTTTTTTATGGGATAAGGTATGGAATATGTTCTGTCAAGCTTTGCATGAGTAGCGACCAGATTTCTGTACGCTTAGCAAGCAACTGGAGAGGAAGCACAAGTGGTTTTCAAAATAGCATATGAAAGCGTCTAATGATAATGCTCAGTTTCAAGTAATGTGTTAGAACTTGCCAGGATAAGCAGTATGCTTTAAACAAGATCATGGAATAGGTATTCGTCTGCTAATCTCGCATTTGCCTAACGTTTAGGTTGATTCTCTTATTTTTCATCCATCCTCGCCAATCCGCAAACTTCTCATTGCCACGGGCTGGCCAATCTTCAAGATAACTTGGGCATGTATCTTTCAGCACTTTAGGCACTCCATGCCAGGCATATCTCGACTCCTGTGTCATATAGATGGCATCCCCAGATCTGAGCCTCAAGAGCAGATACTGCTTCTCGCTTGGTGTTTCATTTTGGGACCCTTTTTTAAAGTCATTGGGTGCAATCATAAAGAGTCCATCACAGCCGAAACTCAAACTGATAAGTCCCTTGTCTGTCTCCTCGCTGACATCTCGGTGCATCATCATAGTATCGCCTGGCGTGTAGAAGTTGAGGATGGCTGCTTGGGCGACAGTTTCGGGGAACAGGTCCTCAAGCATGTGTGAGATATCATCTGGAAACTGAGGAGGCAATTCCTCGGGATAAACACGATTGGTCCAGTCGTACTGGCCTCCAAGCGTTACCCAGTGCAGTTTTCGCTGCATAACCTGCTTGATTGACAGTGGCTTATGAACGCTGGGGTCCTTTGGGAGAAACGATGCCGGTGTTTCTGGACTGACAGAGAAGAATGACCGTTCATCGTCGTCCTTACCTTCTGGGTATGAAAGGTTGTAGTGTAGATGTAGATTGGTCTGGTGATTCTGGACACTGAGATCACGATGGATCAGACGATCCAGTAAATCCAGCTGCACAGTCTCAGGTACAAGTGAAGGAAGAATCAACAGGCCTATGGTTATGTTAGGTTTTTGGCATAGCAAGGACAAGGAGTTCTAAGTACCTGGTATCAATGGGTGGTGTATAACAGGAACATCCTTCTCGACCTGCAAGGCAAAGTCAGGGTTGAGGTGACCGAAACCTTTTGCAACCTGCTCTTTCGAAAGACTCGAGACTTGACGGAAACCAGACTCTTCTAGGGGAGCGCGAGGATCATCGATTCGAGGATCGTTAAGCAGACTTTTGTGGTCTTGACGCATGTAGCTCTTCCACTCAGAACGCATCTCATCAGATGGCTGCTCGTGGGCGTCGATCTCAGTAAGGTTTGCTGATACCATTTTGGCGGTGATGCTGGAAACTAAAAGCTTGGGCGTTTAGTACCTCGGCCCTTTTAACAGGTTCCCTTGGAAAATACCCACGAGTTTTGTGCCTCTTGCAGGTACCTAGGCTTTTTCTTGACTTGCTCCAACGAGTCGAGGTTATTCTACTTGTTCTCACAGTCCATAATCTAGAAATCTGGTGGACCACCCGAAGAAGCACGTGACATCCTCAAACTCATCGCAAACCTCACACTTCTCCGGTATGCAGTTATTGGCTTTTTGTTCTCGGTTGTCTTGTCTTTATGTTCCTTCTATCATTTTACGCTGCTGTCTTACGGAAATGGCCATGTTGTTTTGATTGCGCAGAACTGGGACGAGAAACCCATTTGACGAAAATTCTTATATCTGAGTTACCTAGCTCCTACACTATACATTGCCCGTTCAATAGAGGTCACCATGACACCACTACGAGTCTTTTCGGCAAATCAGCTATGTCGTTTATCATTATGCTCCAAGAATGCCGGGCAGAAAGCCCAGTTCAGTACGTCAGGTCGGATGAACCTGCGTCAACGACCACTACGCCGAGCTACAGGTCGTATCTCCAACCAAGCACAGCAAGTCAGTCCTGCAACTTCACCAGTTGCAGTCACGCCGACCTTAGGCTCCAACGTGAAGGCTGAAGAATCCAAAAGTCAGCCATCTGCTCAGGGGATCATCGTGCCAGGATTTTCTCTCCATGAAAGGACCTCGAAACCACGAAAGGCTAAACCGCGAGGACCATTGCCTAAGGGAATCAAGCCTTATCAGCAGGTATTGATAGAGAGTGAGTCGATCTGTTTCAAGCAGGGCTCAACTTCACCAGTCGATGTGCCGAAAGAAGACAAGCCTGCTCTGGCAGCAGCTGGAAAGTTCTTTGAAGAACGCTACCAGATACTCTACTCTGCCGAAAACCTTCATGACCACCCCCAAAACGACCATATCCCAGAAATTGTTGTACTGGGTGCCTCCAATGCTGGAAAATCATCTTTCCTCAATGCCCTTCTTGGTGATCGGGAAATAGCCAAGGTGAGCCACAAACCAGGCAAGACTACGACGATGAATGCGTATGGTGTTGGGCCACGTCCCAAGATTGCCAAGGAGCTCATTCGCAAAGGTGACGCACCGCCAAAGCACAGTCTGGTGCTGATGGACACCCCGGGTTACGGATTTAAAAGTCAAGAGGCCTGGGGAAAGACTATCCTGAAGTATCTCAACGTCAGGAACATGCTTCGTGGCGCTGTGATCTTGATACCGGCCGACAAGAAGCTCAAAGAAACGGATAGATGGATGCTCAGAACACTTGCTCAGTCTAATACTCGAACATTGGTTGTCATCACCAAAGCGGATAAGCCTGGAAAGGAGTGGCAAGATACATGTCACAGGCTTCATACTCAGATCGCAGCAATCATGCGCGGTCTAGAGGCCCAATCAGCTGCCTCTTGGAGGGAAGGGTCTGGGCGTGTGCTGGATATTTATGCCACAGCCTCCAAAATTGCATCCGTATCCCGCCGGCTTGGTGATGGAGGTGGCATTGGAGGTGTAAGACTTGCAATACTGGAAATGGCTGGCTTTTCTCTGGGGGACAAGATAGAAAAGCAACCCGAGACAAAGGCTTATACAGGGAAGGTCGTCTCTTTTGATAATATCGTTTGGAAGTCATGAGCTTGGGTGTCGAAACCCAATCGACTCATATACGTGATATTTAGCTCTTGATCATTGTACATAGTTGGTTCGACATGATCAAAACACCTCATATGTAGAGAATCGAGTTGGTGCGAGGGCCAGCCCCGGCTTGAATAATGTATTAATACAGCTTTCAGGGGGGAGATGCCCGTCTGTGCCTTGCCCCTATGCTAACATCACAACTATGGTATCATCAAGTGTATTACAAACAAATGCAGAGACTCTACTCATCACTCCGTCTGGCCTCCATTTGATTTGGCCGATTTTGTCGAAGTGGCGGTTCCGGGTCTACTAATGGACTTGCTTATCGAGTGCCTCAGCTTCCTGCTCCCTTTCGTATCAAACAAACTCTTGACTCTCTTCAACCTCGCCCATCTCTCCTTATCCTTTACATCTCTCTCTTTCTCGTCTTCTTCGACATTATCTACCCCAGGCCTAACAGAACCAGGGGTCTGAGTCGGTGTGTTGATGGAGGCGGCCGTTCCAGGCCTCTGAGGTGTGGATGGTGCTCCCATTGGTCGTTCAGTTCGCGGTCTCGCAGGTGAACGTCCCTCATAAACACTCTGAAGATGTGCTTCATTTGCGATGGTTCGCACCAACACCTTCCAGCCTGGCAAGTCTTGCCCAGAAGCCTTCTGGGAATGTGCCTGCTTCTGTGTCTCAGAGTTCGCCCATGGGCAAAAGAAGCGATGCTCTCGAGCTGGATCTAAGAAGTCCATAGGGGCCGGTACCAGAACCTCATTGTTCTCACCCACTTCCTTGCTCTTGAACATCCACAATCCTAGTCGCCTGAGACAGGTATGGCATGATGCCGAGTTTGGCACTGCACCGATACGGACATTATTGAGGCCTTGCCATCCCATCAAGGCAAGCGATAGTGCGACTCGATTTGGCTGCGCCTCGGTCTCCTTTGCGGCTGGCGGTTTGGTGAAGAAGTCGTTCGGTAGATGTGAAAGAACATCGTCCAAGTTCAACTCCTCTGGCAGTCGAAGATTGAACTCATAGGGCAAGAATGATATTCGTGCTAGCAGCTCATCATAGCGCTCACGTAAAGCCGCAAGACTCGTAGTTGCATTGGTTAAAGACAACCGGAGAAGGGAATCTGCAAACAAGGTCAGAAAACAACGACGATATGCGCTTCCGACGAGACAACTTACCATCACAGCCCCGCTTACGCCAGAGACAATCATCCTGGTGTGAAGTTACAATGAGATCAGCATACTTGTCTACCAATGCATCCTCTACTGAAGGTCAGCGCAATGATAAAGGGCTCGGTTGCGGGGGTGCCTACCTATCTCGGATGCCACGAGAACAGGAACCTCCTTTCCATCCACAACCTTGCGATTGAGTTTGACAACCAGTTCTCGATGGCAGAGAAGACAGCGAACTGTTTCCTTGCCATGACAAACCCAGCCACGCTTTGCCCATTCTATCTCATTCACTTTGTCCGGCTTTGGGGTCCAGTCTGTTATTTCTTGGAACGTGCCTAGCCTTTTCAAGAGGTCTCCTCGATCGGTCGGTGCATATCGCGCGGGCGCCGCTGCAGGCTTCTTGGACGAGTCCTGTGCTTGTGTGCGTCGGGAAACGATAGCAGAGAGGGTCGCAGATAGGTTTGTTCTTTTGCCAGCTTTGGGTGCTGTTGAATCTGGAAAGCCTAATCTTCGACGCTTTTGAAGCAATTCGGCATCTGCGCCGAATACACGAGTTTCTGAGCCAGGCGAAGTAGTTGAGCGATTTGAAGGCGAGCCGGCCTCGTGCGCCGACGTGTCGTTGGCGGCTTTCGAGCTCGATGACCCTAAGCCTTGCAATAAGGTATTGAATTTCCGTTTCGTTGCGTTCGTTGACATATTGCAAGCGTGACCAAGCTCTTTGTCTGGATCTACGATGTTGAGCTGAAGAACGCGGCCTGTATATCTTGTTCAATAAAGACGGGATTTGGTTGAAGACAATAATAATTCGACAAGAGGTGATGATGTTTGAGCTTCAGCAGCCTACCCCTGGCTAGGTAGCCTGTATAAAAGTAGACGAGTTAGTGGTGAGAGCAGTTCCGGTAGTGTCTGTCTACAGTAATCCCTGTCATTCTTAACGGATTTACTTGTGCGTCAAGGGCGGTTCCAGACGCAACTTGCTAGGTAAGAGTAGTCTTTGCCTATTAAGGAACCTATCGATAAGAATTAGAACGTCAATAAACTGGACAGGCCCCCACCATCAATCCACCCGTCCACAGAAATTTTTCTGTAGCCAGTCTTTGATCAGCGCGAAGTCCAAGAAATATTTATATCAGTCCCCGATACTGAAGACAATTTCTTGCTGTTTTGCAATTGCCTAAGCTTCACTTTGTTGCATTGGCGTATGTCTGGCTCCAAACAAAGCCCTCCCTCGTGGCTATTCTCCAACAACCCCCTAAATCCCATCAAACCTTCTTCCGACAACATGGGCAAGAAGAGCACAAAGGCCGCTGCGCCCAAGAGCGAGGCCCCATCTACGCCTCCCCCGGGTCAGCTCATGGACTTGGTAGAGAATTTCCTCTCTGACCATTCTTTCAAGGGCGCTGCCGATGCCTTCAAGAAGCAGAGAGAGAAGAAGGGCTGGAAGGCGACTGCTGCCACTGATGAAGAGGGTAATCCTTCCCTTGTCAGTGTTTACCAGACATGGGAGGCTGCCAAGGGCGATGATAGTAGCAAGTCTATCAATTACAGCATAAAGAAGTCCTCTGAGAAAGATTCTAGCAGCTCTGCTAGCAGCGACTCCAGCTCTGATTCAAGCGACGCCAAGGAAGAGGATGTGGATATGAAGGACGCCGAGTCGTCCTCGGAGAGCGACAGCGACAGCGACTCCGATAACGACAACGATAACGACAACGATGACGAGGCTGCCAAGCCCAAGGTCTCTAACACCCTGAAGCGAAAAGCTCCCGTCGACGAGAGTTCCTCTGATTCATCTTCGGACTCTGATTCTGACTCGAGCTCCTCCGATTCCGAATCTGATTCGGACAAACCCAAGGCCAAGAAGCAGAAGCGCGCCGCTTCCTCAAGCTCCTCCAGCGACTCTTCTTCTTCTTCCTCCTCCAGCGAATCCTCCTCCTCAAGCGAATCCTCCGATTCTAGCGATAGTGATTCGAGCAGCGACTCGGACGACGAGAGCGCCAAATCGGACTCTGGCTCTTCTAGCTCCGATTCAAGTTCTGATTCGAGCTCTGATTCCGACTCCAGTGACTCAGACGACGAGGCTGCCGCCAAGGTGCCACTTCCCGACTCTGACAGCTCTTCTTCGGACTCCGACTCCGACTCCAGCGACTCTGACTCCGACTCCAATGTAAAGGAGACCAAGAAAGAAAAGAAGGTCAAGAAGCAGAAAGAAGTTAAGGACTCTTCCGACTCTTCTGTCACGTTAGACAAGACTTCGCCCGAGTTCCAGTCAAACTCTGCTTACCCACCTCTCCCCCCGGACCCCGTTGTGAACGGTAACGGACGCAAGAAGCAGAACGAGCCCTTCTCACGCATTCCCAAGAACATCAAGGTTGACCCCAAGTTCGCTTCCAACGAATACGTCTCTATCGCCTATTCCCAAAAGGCTCACGAGGATCTGATTGTTACCAAGGGTAAGGGCTTTACGAAGGAGAAGAACAAAAAGAAGAGGGGCAGCTACCGTGGTGGTGCCATCGACATCCACGATAAGAAGGGCATCTATTTCGAGGATTAAGTACATTTTTCTGAAAATTATTGTTTGAGAAGGCCAAAATCGGGGCGGGATGAAGCATCATTTGATTAGAAATAGCCGGCGTTTGGAATGTGACATGGTCACCGCCAAAGATGCATAGATTCATTCTACTGCCGTTCTAGGGGCCCTATCCATGTTTATTAGACTTTTTTATTTCAAGATATGCTCAATTTCAAAAGTTTCAAGGTATCTATATGTCCAACTTCAGTCTACACTCAAATACGTCGTTATACATGATGCGTCAAAGAAGGGCTCGTCTCGTCAATATCCAGCATACAGAAATAATAAGCCAATGGCTTTTATATCCATCACAAGATGGTTATGCTCCCGGTTCGCCTACAGCCATACACCAAAAACCTCGTCTGACTCGTTTTCCTGCTATAAACTCCCTGCAATTTCCGTCCTAAAATGTCGTGCGGTCCTTTTCCGTAGAAGAATTCTGAACTTCGACCGCAGGCGCATGTTGCGCCGCTTCATCGGGAATCTCATCCGCACTGAGGCTCTCCTTCATAATAGCATCCTTTCTGGCCACTGAGTCCCAAGATCTGTTACCATCCTTGGCATTCTGCAGTGCTTCCTTGAGCCACTTATTCCACTGTTTCGTACCTGGAGCTGCTCCACTGCGGCCAACCCAGCCAGTAAGTTGAGTCTCGCGGATAGCGAACCACAAAGTACGTGTGAAGCTCGGGTAGCCCTCTCGTTGGTCATTCACGTCTGTGATTTCATTTGCATTCTTCGCATCTTCAGGGGTTACGTCCTGCCATTGATACCGCGAGAGATCCCAAAAGTATGATCGAGGGAGCATGCCTAAGCCCCAATACAGTCCATTGAGGACGATGTAACTTCCACCAATGAATATCTGAGAGTTCCACGTGCAGTTTCCAAGGAGCACAACGCTTAGCATAAGAAGAGTCGTTCCAAGGGCCATAAGAAGCCGATATGTGCGGCCACCAACATGATAGTGACACTCTTCGGTCCCTGAGTACAATTCTCGGGCAACCTCTTCTGTACATTTGATGAGTAGAAACGCGCCTTCCCGTGTTCTTATCATTACATCACCTCTAGGGACCTCATTCGTATGTTTGCGATTCATGAGAATAGGATGCCAGAATGAAGCATAGCCCACCACAGTCGATGCAAAAGATATCAGGGAAACAGCCAGAATGGCATTTCCATCTTGCCACACCACAGCACAGGTGATGATTGCTGTGCTTAGAAGGCATGAAAATACTGAGAGAATGTGGATTGGCGAGAAGAGC